AGACTTACGACCGAGGAAACTACACAGTCGCCAGAGCCTCCATGCAACGCTGAAATACCAAAATATCGAAGGTAAATAACCTTAGATCTATGTCGATCTAAGGGGATTTAAGGAAAATAGAGGTTGTATTTGGCCTTAGGAGGTCGAAACCTATAATATAGGGTAATTTAGGAATTTTCGGCCACCGGTGGTGGTGGCCGACAGTAGAGCTTGCGGCGGTGTGTGGCCGCCGGAATTCCCTCCGAAAAGGGAAATACAGAGAGAAACGAGAGAGTTTTCTCGTTAGAGAGAGAACCAGAAAGAAAGAAAAAAAGAGAAATGAGGGCCTTAGGTCGGTTTTAGGGAATTTATACCCCTCTCCAAACGACGCCGTTTTGGGGAGGGGTATCTGTGTAATTTAGAAGAGGTAAAACCATTTTGTGGTCTATATATTTTGAAGTTAATTCAATTTGGTCACTAAATTATATTTTTGAATATTTTAATTTAGTCTCCAAATTTTATTTATTTATAATTTAATCATTAATTTTAGTTATATAATATTTAGGATAAATGCTCTATTTAGTCCCTTATAATTTAATTAATATTTATTTTAACCCGATTAATTAATAAAGGATAAATTACACTTTTAATTATTATATTTCATAATATTTTGAATTAGAGCTTTTAATTTTAATATGTTATATTTTAATCACTGATATATTGATTACTATTAATTTATATTTTATTTTAATCCCTAATAGTTTGATAATTTTTATTAATAATTTTGTATTTTAATTTTATAATTTTAATTTTTTTATTTTGATCATTATTTATTTGCAATATTATTTATTATTACTTTATATATTTAAATTATTACTTTAATTATTTTATTATTATATTAGTCATATATATATATATATTTAAATAATAATATTTATTTATTTATTAATATTAAAGAAAATGCAATCTTAAAGCAACTAGATGTCATTTTCTGATATTTTTTAATAAATAATTGTCCTATTTACAAAACCCTAAATTATACTATTAGAGACAATTTATAATCGACAAGGACCAATTTTGGGCGTTGTGGGGGTGCTAATCGTTCCCCAAACGTAATCGACCACGAATCCCTTTTTATTGTGAAAAAGAACGAATTTTTGGTTAAACGCAGACCAATTTTTCTTTTAAAATAGTATTTTCTTAAAACTATTTTAAAAGATAATTTCAGGTATTCGACCTACCTAATTCAAAAGGTCGATGGCGACTCTAAAACATTTCTTAAAAATTCGCATCCTGACGAAAACCGATTAGGACAGCTTCCAACAAGATTTTAGAAATGTTGATTCGTCTTTGCTATATCGGTATTCAGGTGACCGGAATGTGTCTAAGATCCCACTCTCCAAGCAGACGACATAATCAAAATCAGGGTAATGCACTAAGCTCCCAGAGGACAAATGCTCTCATTATTTAGAAGAAAAAAATAAGAAATTTATTTTAATATATTAAGAAATTTTAATATATCTATTATTTTTAAAAAAATAATATTAAAATTTTAGATCATATTCTTAAATTTTTAAATTCATCACTTCTCGCTATTCATACGGGCATATAGGAGATAAATATATCAAAAACTCGTATGTTAATGTGGATCGTGACGTCTACACGAAAAATTGAAGCTTTGACCATAAGCTCAATAAATGTCATCCGCATCCATGCCAGCATCAGCATCTGGAGGGTCATAATTTTTTGTTAAGCCAACATTCCGGTCCGTGACATTGGGAAGTTTGTTGGAGTTTCTTCGTCAACTACAAGACCAATTGTAGATTTGTAGTGAATTTCCAAGCAACGATGATAATATCAAAAACCAAAAGGACTCAACTGTAAAAAGTCATATTCGTGGGACCTTCCTAGAAAAACCTTTGTTGATTGTCACCCTAAAATTTGTACAGTAAATGAGATGAGATAGATTGTAAGTTATTTAAAATTAATTCGATTAAAATTCGATAAATATTCGACTTGAATATATTCAGCTCGAGTTATTAACGAACTGAAACGAATTACTAAATATTCAACTAACAAAACTTGTGAACAGTTCAAAAAATATAATATATTAAGATTTTTTTGGGTTATTTAACTATATTTTTCTTCAACGGCTAAACCTTCAGCTTATGCAAATTCATCTTCTTCTGGTTTCGAGGATCTCTTGCCCGTGATAGCGAAGAAGCTGGGAGGGGAAGGTCTGATGGGTGAACTCTGCAATGGTTTAACTTGTTGATGGATAGAGAAAAAGGGCTGATCACTTTCGGTAGTCTGAAGAAGAATTCGGTGTTGTTGGGTTTGCAGGATTTGAGTGATGATGATTTGAGATGTATGGTGAGAGAAGGTGATCTTGATGGCGATGGAGCGCTTAACCAGATTTTGTGTTCTCATGTTTAGGTTAAGCCCTGAGTTGATGGAAGCCTCTCGGTTTTTGTTGGAAGAAGCTTTTCAAAATGAATTCAAAGATTTTCTTTGATCTTTTTTGTACTTTTTGGTGTTATGAAATTGCAGACTTGGAGAAGAAAAGTTAATCCTATCACTTTATTTGTAAAATTGGGTTTCATTTAGTTGATGATATAATTGATAATCTCATTAATGACTATCTTTAATTGACACCAAATAAGTTATTTATCGTTATAAATAGCCAATGCCTATGGATAACTGAGTGTAATCCATCGTATATCTCCGAATCCTATCTCTTTCTTTGCTAATTTTTCTGTTTTATTTGAATCACCAAAATGGGCGGAGGAGTAATGAGGACGTCAGCGAAGGTAGCCGAAACTGGAACTGTTAACACCGGCCTTCAGATCCGTCTGTCCTCTTCTTCCGGAATTTCTGATTCTGCCAGTGTAGTTTCTTCTTCGCTTCTGACATGACGGCGTCATGGGATGGTGGATGATTGGGAGTTTGCTGACGGTTTTGAAGAGGAGATGCCCACCGCCATCTCTGCCGGAGGAAAGCCGATGGCTCGGGTGTTGTTTGGAGGTGCTCCAACCCTTGAGGAGGCTAAAGAAGCCTCTACTGATTTGAGAGATGCATTGGATAAGTAAAGATTACTGCTTCGAGAAAATTTTGTTCTTAATAAAATTTCTTTCATTGGATTCATTCATTCAATATAGGATCCATTCTTATGAAATTTGAAATTATAATAATCTGATATATGAATGGTCGTTCCTTTCCTTCTAAGGCGTTGAATTTCAAGTGATGGAAAACATCATTTTCTTGACGACTAAATATGCGAGAACCATGTTGCTTTTCTGATCTTTTTGATAATTTTTTGTGGTTATTGGTCTTTGTTTTCAGGGCTTATTTATCATCTCCGAATTGGACCGAATCGACCGAATGATACACATTCGTCTGGTTCGTCCTCGCTTTCGGAGGAGGCAGATGATGTCAAAGCCACTTTAGCACCAAAACCTGCTGCTCAGGTATTCAAATTACTCGATCAGAGTCCTGCAATTCAGGTTGTGGTTTAACTCTTTCATTTCATTCGTCTTGTTTGCTTTATCATGTTGAAACCATTAGAGGTATTTCCTCGGAAAATGTCGGATTCTCGTGACTTGATCAACAGAAGGCGCATCTTACTGTCCATGACTCGTCTTCGAGTTGGTTTTCGACATGTTTGAATACGAATCTCTCTTACAGATTACAGAATGTTAATAGTGTTGTTATGATCTGCAAAAGTACTTGGGGGGCTTATCTGTTTGGTTTTGGTTTTGCTCCCAGACGATTGTTGCGTCGATTGCCGCTGATCCAAATGTATGGAATGCTGTACTGCACAATCCGGCTTACATCGACTTCCGGTCGCATAAGACCAGTGAGACTTTTACCTATGCGTTGAATTTCAAGTGATGGAAAACATCATTTTCTTGACGACTAAATACGAGAACCATGTTGCTTTTCTGATCTTTTGATAATTTTTTGTGGTTATTGGTCTTTGTTTTCAGGGCTTATTTATCACTCCGAATTGGACCGAATCGACCGAAGATACACATTCGTTTTTGATAATTTTTTGTGGTTATTGGTCTTTGTTTTCAGGGCTTATTTATCACCTCCGAATTGGACCGAATCGACCGAATGATACACATTCGTCTGGTTCGTCCTCGCTTTCGGAGGAGGCAGATGATGTCAAAGCCACTTTAGCACCAAAGCCTGCTGCTCAGGTATTCAAATTACTCGATCAGAGTCCTGCAATTCAGGTTGTGGTTTAACTCTTTCATTTCATTTCGTCTTGTTTGCTTTATCATGTTGAAACCATTAGAGGTATTTCCTCGGAAAACGTCGTATTCTCGTGACTTGATCAACAGAAGGCGCATCTTACTGTCCATGACTCGTCTTCGAGTTGGTTTTCGACATGTTTGAATACGAATCTCTCTTACAGATTACAGAATGTTAATAGTGTTGTTATGATCTGCAAAAGTACTTGGGGGGCTTATCTTTTTGGTTTTGGTTTTGGTTTTGCTCCCAGACGATTGTTGCGTCGATTGCCGCTGATCCAAATGTATGGAATGCTGTACTGCACAATCCGGCTTACATCAACTTCCGGTCGCATAAGACCAGTGAGACTTTTACCTATTGGTTTCAACATTTGATGCTCTCTTTTTTCATGAATTTAAAAGAATGAATGTGTTGCAGAGTTTGCATTTGACAATAACGGATCCCCTCGGAGATACGCATCTTCTTCGTTAAAGATCAAAGAGCATCTCGGTGTAAATCAACCCCAAGAAGTCAAGAATCCATTTTTTGATTTTGTAGAGAAGTTCAAGACGTGTGGTTGATATGGCTAATAAAGCAACTGATTTCCTGCAGAACATCTTTACTCTCTGCCGAAACAGAGACCGGATCGACCTATTTCGAGGAGACGATCGCAGCTAGTCTAACGGGGTTAGCCGTTATGGTTATTATGGTATTGCTTCTTAAACTAGTCTAGATTAAAAGTATGAGAATTTGTCGATCTTACAACACAAAACAAGATATTGTCATTTTTCCACTTGGATGCTTGCGGAATACAAAGCTTATATTGCTGCGGAATTGCCTTGGATCAATCGCTGGTTAATAAAAAATGATTGATGCCTGATTATTAGATTTACTATTTAGAACATTTTTCATCTAATTTAATGATGACACGTGTCTAGAAAATATGGTTCATAGGCATTGCTCCATACACTCGGCCGGCGGCCGGCCTCCGTTATTTATGTTTCGCTCGGACTTTCAAATAAATCTGTGGAATCCATGGTTTCCTGTTAATCATCACTACTAATATACAGGATGTCCTCCTTTGCTATTTGCATCTGTCCTTTATCTTTTCTGCTATTTGCTTGTGTCCGATCCGGTTGGCCGCGCTGGATGGAAGGTTTTTCGACGGGTTAGTAATGTCCGATTGAAAAAGGGATTTAAGAATTTTAATTTCGAATAAAGCCCATAAACACATGAATATACGATACAGGGTTCCGGACCAACCTTTTTTAAAACATACGCAAGGTATAAATAAGCCGCATCCCATTCGTCCAAAGATAATGTGCCTGTACACAACGGTGGGGGAACAAAGACAATACAGTTAACCAGTGTCCAGCACTAAAGAATAATGGCAATCTAAACGATTGAAACGAGATAATGACGTAATGAACCATCTTGGAAGTGAACTTACTCTGGTCTTGATTACCGTTGCCTAATGCACCTAATCTCCGCATAAGCTCTATATATTCTGGTTTTTTCATGTATTCGTGAACAAACTCGTGCGAGTTTTTTACGAAAACGAGTTCTAGATCATACTGCAGAGACCAACACAAGAAATTACGAGCTTAAAAAATTATTTATTTTTTGTACAAGAGTTTAACAAATTTATAGTACCTCCTCTGCTAACGACTTGAAGACATGAAAAGGAACGATCCATTCGGGGCAGTCCACAGCATCCTGCAACAAGACGTCCCGTAAACCCTTAAGATTGCATAAATTAATACGAAAGGATGGTTTCTGAAAAAGGAGTTTTCAAGATGCTTACCTCTAAATGGAACTTGTACTTGATACCAAAGGGACTAGAAGATTTAAATTTCTGAACCAGGCCGTAAAAGTATGTCAGAATCCAATAAAACTCATTGTGAACATCAATATCTTCTCAGAAAATACGGTTTGCAAAACGGAGGGGGCATTCACCTTGTCACTAAATTCTTCATCAAAACGTATCCAGTAGACGCTGTTGCCAAGGGTCAATCCTTCAGCTGTATAGGCAGTGAAAATATAATCTTTACTCAAAATCAAACGTTACGTCATCGGTTTGGTATTTGGTTTAAAGAAACAACAAAATTTAAAAATGTTATTCATGGGACAGGCTATCTTTGGTCACTTTATGTTAAATCCATCACCAAAATTCAGATAGGCACAAAACCAAATTTCCTATTCAATGGTGTCACGAGTTTTAGTTATATATTGAATGTTTCTTAACTCTAAATTTCAGGTTTTCGCTTCACTTAAAAATAAATTTCCTATAGCATCATTTTCAAGTCAAGAAATGTAAAAGCAAGTTGCAAAACTAAACCTTCTCTAAGTTTTTTGACTATCACATTGGCATCTGGCATCGTCCCAATGAAGGTGCCCCCCGGACGAAGTAAAGCAGAAACATTGGCCAGTGCTCGACGTGCCCGTGCCTCTGTAGACCAGGAATAATGCATGGCAAACTGCATGATTAAGAGCACATCAGTTATAACCATAATTACAGCTTCAGTATTAGATCGAGATACTATGAGAAAGCATATTAGTTTGTAGCATGGGTATACTGCTCTACTACATATGTAGCATTTTATTATTAATATTTTCGAGAAAACTAAAGAACTTGAACGCAAAGTTCTGAATAGTAAGCAATTTAGTGGCAAGGCAACAAGGAAGTAAATAGACATATAATAGACAATTTTTAAACTATTCACCTGGCAACTGCAGATGTCGAAAGGAGCATCATCCACCAAAACTCTATCCAAGCATGCCTGAAAACCGTAAAAATATAAATATGGAGACATATCCTCTAACACATCCTTAATTAACCCCAGAAGGGATATTTTGTTTTACTGGTTTAGCTGTTGGTTTTATACAGCAGTAGTCAGTATTTAATATGACTAAGCATGCCATTTATTCTGATAATTAACCCGAGAACCAGAATATCTAAAAGCTGACTACTTTTTTGAGGTATGCATTGAATGATGATATTCTGGGGTTAATTCACAGTATTTAATATGAATAAGCATGCCATTTATTCTGATATTTAATATGACACATCATTCAATGCATACCTCAAAACAATCCCCGCAGATGAGACGGGCAGGAAAAGTGAACTTTTTGCGACGCTGATGATGGTCTGCATTACCATTGTATCGCGTACGACAATCTTCTATCTGTTTATAAATGGACAAAGTAAAATGAATATAGCAATACAAATAAACAGCAGGCTATTAATGGATTTCAAAAGAACACGAGCTATTTGTGATTTTAAAGCTAGAATGTAGACACTGTGAATCGCCACCCGCTAACACATAAGATTCATGTTTCAGAAAAGTTGCAATTTGATATCATTTCATGAGATCATAAGTAGAAGAAGCTTTGCAACAAATCTAAGGATTAATTCAAGTGTGCAAATCAAATCAATGCATCATCATTACAATGGTACTGCTTAAGGAAATTAATGGAGCAGAATAATCATGATATAAATGTTAAATGAAGTCCCACAGATACTAGAGGTTCACAACAACTAAACTAGGCTACTAAATCAGATACACAATATATAAATATAAAGAAACAGTGTGTTTAACACTTTACCGATCCTTCAGCTATATCAATGCCAACATAATATCCAACTTTTGCTTTATCCCATTTGATGAGATCACCACCCTAAACCACATAGGAAAACAAACAAAATGTTTAGCAGACATTGAATACGGAAAATAAGAAGGCAGTTAAATACAAATAAAGGTTGGTACTAAAATACCTTGCCACAGGCAAGATCAAGAACAGCATCACCCCGACGAGCATAAAGCTGAATCAAGACACTTTTAATCTGTCCATCCAAAGAAGAACATGAATGACAACAAAAACATATCATAAGTTTACAATGCAGTTCATGATATTCAACAACGTACCCAGTTATTTAATTTTTTCAAGTGAATGATCGGACTTGCTTCACGTTCTTCCAAAGTTTGATTTGTTCTAGAACTATAATGATCGGCCACTTTTCGAGCAATAATCTTGGTGCTCTCATCCTCCAAAAATTGTGAATCACCTAATATCACAATTGAAGCTTCTTCAACAGAAATTTTGTAGCAATCACAATTCGGATTCTTTTCCTGGTCTCTGAAGTTAAACCTTATGAACTTCAAGACCCAAATTCAAAAATCATCTCATTAACCAAATAATACCCCAAGATTGAATCTTTTTATTTCCTTTAATTCAGCTAGAACACAAATTTAGCAGCTTCAATGCAATCTATAACACTAAATTCTCAAGTACTCAGTGCTTCACTTAACAATCAAAATAGTTTCTTTTTTACTTCAAAACCCATTACCAAAAACAATCATTCAAACCAAATAACCATTACTTTTCTTTAACCAAACAAAATTATAATTTAATAAGATATATTTTAAAAATGAACCCAAATCTCGGTACTGATAAATAATATAATGATTGCACAAGAAAACCAATAAAAAGAACCCCAAAAGAAACAAATGCCAACAAGAAATTTACCTTCAGGGTTATGTTTGAACTTGGATTGAGGTGGACCACAGGAGGAAGATGGAGAATCTGGGTATCCACGTTTCATGGCAAAAATTTATCAAACAAAAACAAAGGAACTTGATTTGTTTTGAGGTGTATGCAAGAAAAGTATAAAATGTGTGGTTTTGTATTTTGTGTGCTTGGGTGTGTGTTTTTATTGGAAAAAAACAGGGCAAAACATAAGTCGGTGTACCTTTGTGGAGGGTTTGGTTTTTGCCTTGGGCTTGGATTCGATAGAAAAAAAATGGCTTGTTTGGCAAACAATTTTTAAAAAAAAATTAATTTATTTAAACATAAATAATTAATTGATAGTTAAATGTTTTATTTTTAGTATTTGATGAATATTTTTTTTAAAATTATTATGCAAAATAAATTAAAAATAAAAACACTGAAAATTCAACTGTTTAAAAGAATTGATTGCAAAATAAGATATTAAATGACATATTTGATCTTATTTTTTCAATAATTACATATTTACCCTAAAACCTAACATAATAAAATAGTCTTCGCCTAATATACTTAAACTAAAATTTTATTTTATTATTCTATTTTTTAATTGTAGATTCTCAAATATATTTTAATTAATAAAATATAGAAAAACATGAAAATAAAAAATATAATATTGATATTTTATACAAAGTTAGTATGTATCAATCTCATAAGAATAAAATTTGTAAATATTAAAATTCAAAACTATATTCAAAATTTTCAAAAACATTCACTAATTTTCTTAAAGAATTTTTAATTCTTTGTTGAAAGTATTTTATCCGAATAATTTTACCCAAATAAAAACTAAAGTATTATAAAAACATATATGTATTTAATAATTAAATGTATCATACTTTTATTTGTCATTTTACCTATATTAACTATCAGCTATCAACTAAATTTTACCAAACGCTTCTATATAAACAACTAATCAAATTAACTAATCAAATCAGTTATCAAACTAATTACTCGAATCAACTATTAACTATCAATTATTTACCAAACACCTAAGGTAAACTAAAAAAACACTTGAAAGAGATAGGTTCGGGTTTTAACTTTTAATTAATAAGAGAGAGAAGGTTTTATTTTCTTTTTGGAATTTATTTGGATTCGTTATAAGCTCCATCTTAAATGAGTGGCTTGATTCTATCAAATATCCCCAGACTACCGTTTTGATTTTAAATCAATCCTTAAATTTAAAAGATATTTTAGTTAAGTCCTTAATATCAACAAAGCCTTTCCATTTTCAATTATCTTGGCCTTTAAATCATATATTTATGCGCGAAATTGAACATGATGTATAAGATATTTAAAATATAATAAATTAAATTAAATTATAATCACGTGAATATTTATTTATTTTATTCATAATTTGAACAAACAAATTGTCTGAATTAAATTATATTGTTATTTCAGACTTCGAACTGCTATTTGAGTTCATTGGTGGATTTGTTTGCTTAGTTGCTATGGATTCCAGATTAAATATTGATGTTTTAATTAAACCTAGATAGTAAAATCCCAGATTTCTGGGCTTGGTTCAAGCTCCTATGAAACCCTAATTTATAAGAGCAAACAGGAAACTGTGTAGCCGTCATTTCTCTATTTCTCCATCATTAACTTCGGGTATTGTTTGAAGCATCATTAACTTTAGGGATGACAGTATGACCCGAACTCGAAGAATTTGAAATTCGGTCAAGTTCGGGTCGGGTCGGGTTGAATGATATTGGGCCGGGTCGGGTATTGGGGATTTTTTCGGGTCGGGTTCTCGTTCGGGGCAAGATATTCCCGACCCGCCCATATTATATATATATATATAATATTTTATATTTTTTATATTAATTATATATATATATATATATAATATTTTATATTTTATATATTAATTATATATAAAATATTTTCGGGTTCGGGTTCGGATTTGAGTATAATATTTTGGGTCGGATTCGGGGACGGGACCAAAAAATCCCTGACTGGACGCCCCGATAAAAAACTTGTTGGGGATTTATTTTGGGTTTGGGGACGGGACGAGCAAAACCCGCCCCGAACCTGACCCGTTGCCATTCCTAATTAACTTCATCATCTACTGTTAGGATAACCCCTCACAGAGACGAATGTAAAATTTTATATTAGAAGTGTGATTTTAGAAAGTTATATTAGAATTTAGGTGATACGAAATTTTAAAAATTTCAGGAGATACGAAATATAAAGAAGATACCTGAATTATACGGAGATTTGAATTTTTTAAGGGTATGATTGATCCGAGTACTCGTTTCCATTAGACTTGTCTATAGCTTACATGGTTTCACTGCTTCGCACATCTCCCCTCGAAGAGGGAATAGAGAAGCCAACATAAAGAACACGCCATGTAGGAAAAAAGTAACCAATGGTTCAATGCCTTGGAAATTCTGGCGTCTCATTTGATAAGATTTTCTTCTTCCAATAAGCTTTGGAAATTAAGTTGTGTAGAGTATTTTATTTTAGCAGTCCAAAGAATGAGCCTAAAACTTCAGGGCAAATTTGGTACTCTAAAAAAGTAAAATGATATATATTTTAAATACTTTCAACCATTACTCAATCATCTTATTGTAATCGCTGATGTTCGAACACGTAACTTTCAACAACAACAATTATATATCTTTTACTAATCTAATTAATATAATGATGTTTATATGTTAAACTGGACGAATTATATGTATAAAATAAAAAAAGAATTTTATTGCAATACAAAGAGTCCAAATACACATAATATTGGCTTCTTCATTCTTTTATATAAAAAAGAATTTCATTAAATTTATTTCTTGGAAAATTAGAGACGCCAACTTTTCGATTTTCAAAGCGCGATTGGCAATAGTTGTTCCATTTCTTCATAAACATCTAGCAGCGCCATGTAGCTTATTTTCATGTATTCCGGAAGTTGATCCATGCATTTAAGATCCCACCTGGAACACATGTTTTCATTGTTAGTTTCAACCCCAAGGCTTTAGTATCATCCAGCAAAATGAAAGTTAACTTGTAGTGCAACAAATCTAACCTTTGGATAGCCTCTGTATAGGGAATGAGTTCATCGTATGTTGCAAATGAATCGTATGTATCATCCACAATGGAAGCCATGGCAATGACTTTTGTCAAAAACTTTCTCCCAAGGGGGTATTGGGGTTCGAAGTAAACTCCCATTATCCAGAAATAGCCTTCCACCACTCTGTCTCTTGCAAATGGAAGTTTTCTCGTAAAGTCTAAATCTTTCCACCACCTAAAACAAATCATTCAAAATCGAGTTTAATTCATTCGTAAAAGAAAGATAAAAAAACATTAGCAACGATGGTGTGATTACTGAAACACTTACCTACAGATCTCACTTAGCTCTTTCCTGTGCAGAAGTTGCAACAAGTTGAAATCAATCTTTGCAAACTGAAGCAGTTGTTTGTTATGTGATTCGACATCTTCGTATATGGAAATGAATTTTCGAGCCTCCACCCTCGGCAACCCCCTTCGGATGGACTGTTTCAAGGCATGGTCGACCTGTTCCGACAAAGGATGGTCTAGAGTTGGTAATGCAAGTGTAAGTTGAGCGGCGGTGAAAGAAATGGCTTCGTCAAGTATATCTTCCCCATGGAGCCTCATATACGAAGCTTCGTAAAGCTCCAACAATCCTCGCACATCACTCGTCAACGATGCCTTGAAATTCCCTTCCTCGTCTCTGAACTTGTTGAATGCGTCTGCTCAATCAACCAAACTCATCATCAAACATTAATGAATATAGAGCTCGATAATCTTGAATTATAAAGGTTTGAGGGCTTAATTACCGCAGGAAACACGGAAGCCGTGCTCTCTAAGTAAACGGAATCGAAGAGCAGTGGTGTAGAGATCATTGTCAACTTCGTTGGTCTTGATATGGTATATTTTCTCGAGTTGAACTTCAATCTCTTTCTCAAAGTGATAGCTAACACCCAATCTTTGAACTGCATCAATGAAGGGTAACTTTTGGTTTGAATCCTCAACAGGTTCCACAATCATCTTCCTCACCTCCTCTTTCAATTCTTCGTACTGTAATCCGGTTGCAGCATCAATATCCTGCTCAAGTATAAAAAACTATTAAATCTATGAAATAAAACCTAAAACTCAACAGAAAGAAACATTGTAAAAAAAGTGAATAGGTTACCGTGATAGGACATTGGAGGAACATATCACCCCAAATGCCGGGATGAAAATCGGCCTTGGGCCGATTTTCATTATCCGACGGAAGGACGGAAGCTTGAACTTGGGAAACTTGTGTTGAAGCCATTTTCAGAGATGTATTGAAACAAATGAGTATGGTTTTGGACTACTCTTTTAAGGTTGAAAAGAAAGATGAGGGATGAGAGTAAGGATGAAATTGTTGAATGTATTCGTATATATAAGATTGCTCATTGAAGTCCAAAATGAAAGCGTAAATTGCAGATTATTTTTACTATTTGAAGTAGAAAACATACAGATATACACATAAAAGTCCATTTTCATTTGTCGTTCCCTTCTACTTGTTCAAAGTTGGTGCCTCAAAAACATTTTTTTAAAACATGTATATTATATTATATTATATTTAGTTTGACATAATTTGTCTTGAGAAGATTACTTAGCAGTCTTTATGACTAATCTTGCTGATGCTTTCTTTTTTGGAATTTTCTCGGGAAACAAACAATGAAAAGTTGGCGAAGTCTTTCGAGTACAAAGCAAAATATGTATCCCTGTAGAAGATGGCGTCACACAAATTTATATTGACAGTCAATTTTGACTCAATTAATTCAGAGTATTCATTTTTTTCTTCGATACAAACTCTACTAATTTTGCACAATGAGATTAATTTTAGTTTATTTGTGTTGAATTTAATTTATATTAATCATAGGTTACAACATTTAAAAAATTCGAAAATAAAAAAAAATTACACTAATAGAATATCAAAAATTGACGACTTATAAATCCTAGAAGGTAATCCAAAATTAACAAAATCGAACTCTTAAAAAATAATTAAACAAACAGAGTGAACTTTGAGAAGTTTAATAGGATAGTCGATACATAAATAAAATATAATATATATCAATCTTAATAAAAATAAAACCACATAACATCAAATCGATGATAACATAAATCGAAAATAAATTGAACATTTCTTATCATTTCTTGTAAATAACATTAAATAAACATAACAATTCATTTAATATATATTTATTAGGTGTAGTCAGATGGTCTATTAGTCGTCTACGGATATTCAAATCTAGTATTTTCATCAAATATCAATACAATACAATATATAATACTTATCTTTCATTCTTGTTGGAACACATAATTAGGGGTGCTCAACTGGTCGGTTCGGTTAACCGACCGAACTGAACTTCTAAAATTTCATTAATCGATTTTTTTTCTTATAATCGTTAATCGAATCAAAAGTTTTTTAAAAATAATTAATTTAACCGAAAACATTTAAGTTAATCAGTAGGTTAACCAAATTGACCCAAATTTATAAATAATATATATTATATATTAAATATTTTATATTTTCAACTAATTCGGTTTGTTAATTCAGTTAAAACCGAAATTTAAACACTCCAATATATGTTAACATTCCAGGATTCATGAGAAGGTTAATGATAGCTAGCTACAATCAAGGGTGGAACACATGTCGACTATGTTACCAATCAGAGAATAAATTATGTGTTGAACAAGAATGCTAAGATCAAAGCCTATACTGTGAAAAACAGTCTGTGGGTTTTTGTCGATGCTCTTATCGACAATCCTTCTTTTGATTCTCAAACCAAGAAAACTTTGACTCTTCGACAGACCAGCTTCGGCTCTAAATGTGAACTTTCAGAAGACTTCTTGAAGAAAGGTTAGTTAAAATGGCTCACTTATGAAGAAGCTGATCGTTACCGGCTAGCATTCAAGTTTGGTTGGTTGCAGGGTTTCAAATCGCGGTCGCATTTTCGGTCATTTCGGGTTTATCGTGATTGCGGCCATCGCGGACGCTATTGGGCGCTATTGCGGGTGTAGCGGGTAACTCGAACGGCGGCGAAACCGCTATTTCGCAAGCGCTATCACGTTTTCGGACCGTGATTTGAAACCCTTGTTGGTTGAAGAAGAAGAATAAGTCGATTAAAATGGTCTAATTCGGTCAAATGATGCCAAAAAATCATATTAACGTGCTACATTATCATTTCGTTACTCCAATAAACTACTATTAACGTCAAGTGGTCATTTTATAACAAAAAATAATGTTAATGACTGATTTGTGGCTTTTGAAACATCAATGGTGAAAACAAAAAATTACTCAAAAATTAGTGACCATTTGTATAGTTACCCTTTCTTTTTAACTCTTTGTCGATATCGTTTATTTAATAGTTACACAAATATTTAGTGACAGTCAATTTTGACTCAAATTATCTATCTTATTTCAAACTTGACTAACTCTGCACCAATTTTGTACAAAATAAAAAATGTTTACAATACAAAATGAAATGGGTTTGAATTCAATTTAATTTATACTTAAAAACATTTCTAAGATAAAATGATATATTTGATGAATTTGATTTAACTAAAAAAATTTAAATAATTAATTTTATGAATCTATTAAAATTATTTCTATTTAAATTAAATATAATATTTTTAAAATTATTTTAAGAAAAATTGATTGTAGCATTGAAATAAAATATTAGTCGCCATCACCAGTTGGTGAAGTTGGACGGACAACATGGAAATGTAAGCCTAAATTATTAATATATATAAAGAAACTAGCAGCCATGAACTTTTAAATATTTTTTTAGGATTGTGGGTAGGGTATTTAAAGTTCCGTTAAAATCGATTTAATCGAATTTGTTTTCGGTTAATCTATACGAATCAAATTAAAAACTGGATTGATTAATTTTATTGAACAAATTTTGAACAAATAAGTTCATAACGAACTTAAAATCATTGAGTATGTCAAAATGACTGGTATTATTATTAATGATCAATAAAATTCACATTCAAAAAAAAAGGAGAAATATTTTGTTTTATGGTAAAAAAATTCATTCATCTTAGTTATTTTTCAAGAAAAAAATAAGAAATAGGGGGTTCGTTGAATTTGAAATAGTTAGTTTCATTAATAAGATACGGAGACTTACTTCACATTTAAAATTGCACAAAAAATATTATTTATCTCATAGATGTCTACGTAAAATTCTAGGAAAACGTCAACGACTGATTAATTAGTGAGTTGGATATTCGGGAATAAAAAAATCGTTAAATTGCTAATTTTGAATTAATTGATTTAATTTTAGGTCCGGTTGATTAACGGTCAATATTTTTCAAATTTCGGTTATCAGTTAATTCAGTTTGAAATCAATCGGTTATCAAAATTATTAAAAATTTAATAAATTATTAAAAATTTAATATATTATATATATTATTTATATATTGAAGTGTTTAAATTTTGATTTTAACTGAATTAACGGACCGAATTAGCTGAAAATATAAAATATTTAATATATAAAATATATTATTTATAAATTTGGGTCAATTTAGTTAACCTACCGATTAATTGAAATCCGTTCGATTCTATTAATTATTTTTAAAAAACTTTTGATTCGGTTAAAGCTTAAAAGAAAAAAATCGATCAATGAAATTTTAGAAGTTCAATTCTATCGGTTAACCAAATCGACCGATTAAACACCACTAATTATGTGTTCCAACAAGAATGAAATATAACTATTATATATTGTATTGTATTGATATTTGATGAAAATTCTAGATTTGAATATCCGTAGACGACTAATAGACCATTTGACTACACCTAATAAATAAATATTAAATGAATTGTTATGTTTATTTAATGTTATTTGCCGGAAATGATACGAAATGTTCAATTTATGTTCGATTTATGTTATCATCAATTTGATGTTATGTGGTTTTATTTTTATTAAGATTGATATATATTTTATTTTATTAATGTATCGACTATCCTATTAAACTTCTCAAAGTTCACTCTGTTTGTTTAATTATTTTTTAAGAGTTTGATTATGTTAATTTGGGATTACCTTCTAGGATTTATAATTCAATTTTTGTTATTCTATTAGTGTAATTTTTTTTTTCGATTTTTTTAAATGTTGTAACCTATGATTAATATAAATTAAATTCAACACAAATAAACTAAAATTAATCTCATTGTGCAAAATTAGTAGAGTTTGTATCGAAGAAAAAAATGAATACTCTGAATTAATTGAGTCAAAATTGACTGTCAATATAAATTTGTGTGACGCCATCTTTTACAGGGATACATATTTTTCTCTGTACTCGAAAGACTTCGCCAACTTTTCATTGTTTGTTTCCCGAGAAAATTCAACCATACAAAAAATATGCATCAGCAAGATTAGTCATAAAGACTGCTAAGTAATCTACTCAAGACACAAATTCTGTCAAACTAAATATAATATAATATAATATATTAAATAAATATGTTTTAAATAATGTTTTCGAGGCACCAACTTTGAACAAGAAAAAGTAGAAGGGAACAACAAATGAAAATGGACTTTTATGTGTATATCTGTATGTTTTCTACTTCAAATAGTAAAAATACGCTTTCATTTTGGACTTCAATGAGCAATCTTATATATATTAATACATTCAACAATTTCATCCTTACTCTCATCCCTCATCTCTCTTTTCAACCTTAAAAGAGTAGTCTAAGGCAGCGGCTCAATTAATCTTCTGAATTCCAAAACCATACTCTTTTCTTTCAATACATCTCTGAAAATGGCTTCAGCACAAGTTTCCCAAGTTCAAGCTTCCGTCCTTCCGTCGGATAATGAAAATCGGCCCAAGGCAGATTTTCATCCCGGCATTTGGGGTGATATGTTCCTCCAATGTCCTATCACGGTAACCTATTCACTTTTTTTACAATGTTTCTTTCTGTTGAGTTTTAGGTTTTATTTCATAGATTTAATAGTTTTTTATACTTGAGCAGGATATTGATGCTGCAACCGGATTACAGTACGAAGAATTGAAAGAGGAGGTGAGGAAGATGATTGTGGAACCTGTTGAGGATTCAAACCAAAAGTTACCCTTCATTGATGCAGTTCAAAGATTGGGTGTTAGCTATCACTTTGAGAAAGAGATCGAAGATCAACTCGGGAAAATATACCATGACATCAAGACCAACGATGTTGACAATGATCTCTACACCACTGCTCTTCGATTCCGTTTACTTAGAGAGCACGGCTTCCGTGTTTCCTGCGGTAATTAAGCCCTCAAACCTTTATAATTCAAGATTATCGAGCTCTACATCCATTAATGTTTGATGATGAGTTTGGTTGATTGAGCAGACGCATTCAACAAGTTCAGAGACGAGGAAGGGAATTTCAAGGCATCGTTGACGAGTGATGTGCGAGGATTGTTGGAGCTTTACGAAGCTTCGTATATGAGGATCCATGGGGAAGATATACTTGACGAAGCCATTTCTTTCACCGCCGCTCAACTTACACTTGCATTACCAACTCTAGACCATCCTTTGTCGGAACAGGTCGACCATGCCTTGAAACAGTCCATCCGAAGGGGGTTGCCGAGGGTGGAGGCTCGAAAATTCATTTCCATATACGAAGATGTCGAATCCCATAACAAACAACTGCTCAGTTTGCAAAGATTGATTTCAACTTGTTGCAACTTCTGCACAGGAAAGAGCTAAGTGAGATCTGTAGGTAAGTGTTTCAGTAATCACACCATCGTTGCTAATGTTTTTTTATCTTTCTTTTACGAATGAATTAAACTCGATTTCGAATGATTTGTTTTAGGTGGTGGAAAGATTTAGACTTTACGAGAAAACTTCCATTTGCAAGAGACAGAGTGGTGGAAGGCTATTTCTGGATAATGGGAGTTTACTTCGAACCCCAATACTCCCTTGGGAGAAAGTTTTTGACAAAAGTCATTGCCATGGCTTCCATTGTGGATGATACATACGATTCATTTGCAACATACGATGAACTCATTCCCTATACAGAGGCTATCCAAAGGTTAGATTTGTTGCACTACAAGTTGACTTTCATTTTGCTGGATGATACTAAAGCCCTGGGTTTGAAACTAACAATGAAAACATGTGATCCAGGTGGGATCTTAAATGCATTGATCAACTTCCGGAATACATGAAAATAAGCTACAAGGCGCTGCTAGATGTTTATGAAGAAATGGAACAACTATTGACAGATCAAGGGAGACAATACCGTGTCGAGTACGCGAGAAAAGCAGTATGTGGCAATACGATCATCCGATTTGCTTTAATCTGAAACGTTGAATACTAATTTTCCCAGTCTTGATTCCTCAGATGATACGTCTTGCTCAAGCTTACCTTCTGGAGGCCAAATGGACACAGCAGAACTACAAACCAACATTCGAGGAGTTTAGAGATAATGCACTGCCGACCTCCGGCTATGCCATGCTTGCTATCACGGCGTTCGTTGGTATGGGAGATATCATAACCCCGGAGACCTTCGAATGGGCAGCCAATGACCCAAAGATCATCAAAGCTTCCACCATCATTTGCAGGTTCATGGACGACATCGCTGAACACAAGGTAATGTATGCTGTCCATACATTGGATCCATATTCGACATTTGGGGGTCTGCATCTGCTAAACTAATGGTAATGTTTGATATGTATGGGGGTGCAGTTCAAGCATAGGAGAGAAGACGATTGCTCAGCCATCGAGTGTTACATGGAACAGTACCGCGTGACGGCGCAAGAAGCATACGATGAGTTCAACAAACACATAGAAAGTTCATGGAAAGACGTAAACGAAGAGTTCCTGAAACCCACAGAAATGCCGACGCCGGTTCTTTGCCGGAGCCTCAACCTTGCCAGGGTTATGGATGTGCTTTACAGGGAAGGCGATGGTTACACGCACGTCGGGAAAGCGGCTAAAGGCGGCATCACTTCCCTGTTGATCGACCCCATCGCGCTTTGAATATGGAGAAGTTGGCGTCTCTAATTTTCCAAGAAATAAAATTAATGGAATTTGTACTTTATTAAAAGGAAAAGTATGTGTTCATCACCTTTTTCCTGACTTTATTCTTTTATATAAAAGAACAAAGAAGTCAATACTATTTGTATTTTGCCCTTTGTATTGCAATAATTTTTTTATAAAAGATTTAATTTATAATGAAAGTTTATAATCATAATCGTAAATTAAATATATAATAAAGATATTTTCCTAAATAAAGAGAACTAACCACTTAAGATCACAAAGACCATATAAGGAAAAGGCAAAAAAAACCTAACCAAATAACTCAGATAAAAGATAGATACGAATAGATCTGACCGCATTATCAAACGAATCACAAAAGGGGATGAAGTTATTGAAAGACCACCGATAAATTACAAATTAGAATTGATCGATGTGAAAATACTATCACGAACGTAAATCGTGTATCCAAATCCAATCTGAGGGTCCAAAGCAAGGAAGTATCAACATGATAAAAAATAAAGCGTCATCTTAATCAGTCTTGGCGATATGAAATCTAACTCTGAAAAAAAGAATAAACGAAAGTAACATCCAAATGACCAAAATTGTGCCATAAAGGTAGAGAAAAACATGTCATAAAGGCAAATTTATTAAAAATAAAAACAATGAAAAAAATAAAGATACGTTGTAATAAAGTAAAGGAAGGTGTTGGTGATGAGCATCAGAGAGTTCAGAAGAAGGTGAAGAATAATGAAGGTATTGGTGATGGGCATTATAATGGTGCCATGGGAGAGGTCAAGGATGTGGGAATAAAAGTAGAATTTGTTGGAGGGAGTATCACTCTGGCTGATAGTGACCATACGGGTATTTGACAAGCTGGGCTTACTAAAAATTATATTGATGATTCCAGGTTTGGCAAAGTTACGTATGCAAGCATGGTGGATGGATCGAATATCCAGTGGAAAACTTTGAATTCTTGTTGTGGTACCAATGACGATGAGGTGTTGGAGTTGAAAGCCAAGCAATGCAAATTCAAAGTTTGGCACCTCACAATGGGTTGAAAATTCAAAGGTAGGCATCGAAATAGGGAAGTCAAAAGGGGATGATATTGTTGATTTTTGGTAATGAGATAATTACATTTTAGTCCTTGAACTTTAGGATATTTATAAGATTAGTCCTTAAGCATCAACTATAAATACCATAACCTATTTAGCTTCAAAGTTATTCCAAATCATTTATTTCTCCCAATACAAGAGAGTTTTCTTGTGAGTTGTGAGTGTTTTGTAAACACTTGTAAATTTTTTCTCTTTAGTAAAAGATCTGCAGCGGTCCGGAGACGTAGGCAAAATTGGCTGAACTCCGTTATCAATTTCGGGTATTATTTTTTTACTTTTATTTCGCATTCTCACTAATCTGGTTATAGAAAAATTACTCGTTTATTTCCTAACAACTCGTATCAAGAGCTTTTGGTGGTGAATATTTTTGGTTTTTCTGTAAGGTTACTATTCACATGAATAGTAAATTTTGGTCGGTGATACGAATTTGTCGACGGAGGTGTTCTAATACACTGTAGTTCGCGAGAATTGACAGAAATGATCCAAAATAAGTCAGATTCAAGTGGGAGCGATGGCTTTGAGAAACGAAGTGGATGAGCTCAAGAGGGAGCTGCTCATATGCAAGGGAGCAATGAGTGAATGGGGTGCGCTCAAGACCTTCTTGGAATGACTTAGACCAGGGGCGATGCTCGGGGGAGAGCAAGGAGATGCCCATAAACTTTCGGAGGCCATAGTTGTAGCCGAAAAGCTGACTGAGCTTGCAGGTGTCAAGCCAAGTAGCAATGTGTCGTCCATGCCCATGCCCAGTGATAGTGGCAACATTGGTGGATACCAGGAAAAGGTGCAGTGGAGAGATGGTAGAGAAAACTCTTCTAATAGCCAAGGTGAGCCATCGACTGTTCGTAGCTAAGAAAAGCCATCGGGAAGGAATGACAAGGCTAAGTCCAATACAAAGAAGAAGGCGAGCAAGGAGAAGTTGAAGTGTTACTTCTGTGAAGGTCCTCATTTGATTAGAGGATGTCCCGAGAAATGTCGCCTTACAGCCATCATGAAGAGGATGGAAGAAGGAGAAATAGTGAGAATTTATGCGGTCGTAAGTGTTAAAGCTACCAAGTCAGGAAATAGACTTGGCCCGATTGATATGATCAATGCGGCCAAACAAGGATCGAGACGAGGTAAGGTTGTTGATGTTGAAGCAGCCGAACCAGGAAGAAAGCTCGAGATTGTGAGTATCCAAGCAATCAAGATAGTGGAAAGACTTGATGAGGCTACATGTTCCAAAGTAGCCAAATCAAGGAGCAAGAGTGGTGCGACTACAAGTTCTCAAGTAGTCAACCCATGATCGAAATGTGACGAGACTACCGGTGTCAAAGAAGTCGAGCACAAGAAGGAACCTGGTGCGATAGCAAAAGATAAAACCATCATGCCGAGGGTGCAAAGTGAGCAAGTCCGCTCACAGTATGCCAAGATGGAGGCATGGTCTAAGTTGAGGCATCTCAGACATAAAGTGACACTTAAGGAGTATGTGAGTCGATTCAGAAGACTCATGCTCAAAGTCCCAAGTTTGACTGAAGAAGATGAATTCTTCACCTTCATGTTCGGATTGAAGCCATGGGCGAAGAGAGTGTTGGAGCGAAGGGAAGTCAAGGAGTTGTCTAAAGCCTTGACAAACTTTGAGTCCATCAAAGAATTTGGAGTCAAGAAGAACAAGACTTCCAAAACAAAGCCGAAAGTCGAGGGTAGCAGCAATAGATTCTGTGATAAAGGCAAGTAAGAGGATGAGGAATGTTGTTCCTCGAGTGGCAGAGAAAATCCACTCAATGATGAACCAGATGGTGAGTCTGGGGAAGATGTGTGTAGTCTTGGCATAAGTTCGAGTGTCAAAGATACTAAGCCGAGGGTAAGCGTCGAACAAATGAGGGGGCACAGACTTAAGATGCCAAAAGTGTTGCAAAATTACCCGAGGGGAGCCGAGTCATCCAAGGTGATGGATGAGCCCAAGCTCGAGTTGTCTAGAGAAGAGGACGAACCCAGGATCGAAGAGGCGTTTAGAGTTGACTCAATAAGGTTCATTTCTACCAAGGCGAGTAGAAGCCAAGTGCAAGAAGAGTTGTCTGTGACCAAGGAGTTTGCCGAGCATGTTCGTGTAGAGAACATGGCTTCAGAGACCATCTTAAGAGAAGGGTCGAAGCAGGGGCTTGCCAAGTATGTTTAAGTGAGGAACAATCCTTCAAAGACTAGTGGACAAGAGAGTCGAAGGGAGCCAAGACGTTGAAGGAGAAGGCAACCACGAAGAAAGTGCTCCATAACAAATGGGTTTACAGGACGGTGACTATGGACAAACTGAAGTTGTGTTCAACTTCAGTTGACATTCTAGAGTAACAAGACTAGAAAAGTTGATGCATTGATCGAGTTGTGAAGACGGATTAAAATCAGTCTTCAAGTAAGAGATTGTTGGAGTTGAAAGTCAAGCAATGCAAATTCAAAGTTTGGCACCGCACAATGGGTTAAAAATTCAAAGGTAGGCACCGAAATGGGGAAGTCAAAAGAGGACTGATATTGTTGATTTTTTTGTAATGAGATAATTGCATTTTAGTCCCTAAACTTTAGAGTATTTATAAGATTAGTCCTTAAGCTTCAACTATAAATACCCTAACCCATTTAGCTTCAAAGTTATCCCAAATCATTTCTTTCTCCCAATACTAGAGAGTTTTCTTGTGAGTATTTTGTAAACACCTGTAAATTTTCTCTCTTTAGTAAAAGATCTACAACAATTCGGAGACGTAGGCAAAATTGGCTTAACTCCGTTATCAATTTCGGGTATTATTTTTCCTCTTTTATTTCACATTCTCACTAATCTGGTTATAGGGAAATTACTCATTTATTTCCCAACAGTATCACTCTGGCTGATAGTGACCATATGGGTATTCAACAGGTCGGGTTACTAAAAATTATATTGATGATTCCAGGTTTGGCAAGGTTACGTATGCAAGCATGGTGGCTGGATCGAATATCCAGTGGAAAACTTTGAATTCTTGTTGTGGTATCAATGACAATGAGGTGGTGGTTCTTGAAGAGGATTTTGTCATTTATAGATCCGAGGGGTACCCGACAATCAAATTTTCGAGAAAGGTTCATGAACAAATTGACTAAAATATGAGAAACTTTATAATTGTGCGACTGCTTGGAAGGATGATGAGCTATAAAGCCTTGTTGAATCGGATCAATGCTATTTGGAATCCTGTAGAGAAATACACTTGACAGACTTAGACAACAACTACTTCTTGGTCAAGTTCGCGGAGGAAGATGACTATGTTAAGGTGCTAACGGAAGGGCCATTGACTATTTATGGGAGTTATCTAATCGTTCAACCATGGTCTCGAAGCTTTTCGACTTTGGAGAAACATCCATCGCAAGTAATCATTTGGATTCGCCTCCCAAGGTTACCTTATTGATATTATAGTAAAGCCTTATTTCACTTGATTGCTACAGTGGTGGGCAATGTCGTTAAGATTGATTATAATACTCAAATGGGTGAAAGGGGTAAGTTTGAAGGCTTGTGGTTCTTGTTGACTTGAATAAACTTGTTATCACATGTATTAGAGTTGATGGAGTTAAGAAAAAGATCGAGTATGAGGGATTACACCAAATTTGTTTCAAGTGTGGTGTGTGTTGAACTATGTTTTGATATAACAATTTATGGCAAAATATTTTTGAACTTGAATTAAATTTACTCAAAGTTTTCAAAACTAATTCAGAGTCCATTTAATTTGGAATTGAGCACAAAATATTTTATGAATAGTAACCTATGTGTGAATAGTACTAATATTGTATGAATAGTACCGATACTGTGTGAACAGTAGTATCGATACCATGAACAGTACCGATGCTCAAAAATTATAGAATGAAAAAATGGTATCGATACTGCTACAGTAGTATCGATACCATGAAAAGTAGTATCGATATTGTGAACAGTAGTATCGATACTATCAAGCCCAACGGTAATAAAATTCAAATATTACAAAGGTAGTACCTAT